AATTCAAAAAGTTTGATCGAAAGGCACAGGGGAAGGTGGGGTATGGCAGAGGAGCTGCTTTCAAGCCTTTGGAAAATATATCCAATCCAACTTCTGTGTTTGTGTTTGTTTGAGAGTGAGTGAGTGAGGGATCCAATTTCTCTGTGTGCGTGTGTCTGTTTGAGAGAGCGGGGAGGGAGAGAGGGAGGAAGGAGGGGGAGGGAAGAAAAAGAATGGGAAAACTTATTTTGCAAGGGGGAAAAATGCTATCGCTTTCAATCGGAACTGAGCATGCCTGGCTGTGGAATTCTGGGAGTTGAAGTCCACAAATCTAAAAAGCTGCCTCACCAGTCATAAAGTTGACTGCACGTCACTGGTCAGAAGTTACTGCTTTGTTCATGTTTTTATTCACTTTTGCTATTAAGAGCCTGATTATGCAGAACCGTGACACTCTCCTCTCCTAGTTTTGGCATGCTTTGTGATTATGTTGAGAGTCAGAATTCAACTCTTGGATAGCTAAATCCTGTTTATAAATGTATAGTTTACATTAAATGAGCACGGATATTTTTTGTAAAGTAAAAATAATACATATGATGAAACCTATAGGAACAAGTTTCTATGACTTGCATTAATTAACATTCACTGATCTCAAAAGAGTTAAGCCAAGTCAGACCTGCTTAATACTTGGACAGGAACTACCAATAAATGCAGGGCTATAAATTAGACTTGGCTGTAGAGGAGACAAAAGCAAATGATTTCTGTATTGTTGCCAAGGTAACTTCACGGACACATCTAAGTAGTCATCAACAGCAGAGTTCGGCTTGCAGAAATCTTGGCCTTTGCTTTACTTGATGTATTTATTCGTTTCCCATATTTCTATACAGTCCAGCTATATTTGTGTACCGAGCTCTTTTGTCTCCTTCAATAATCTTCTGTTTGTCTATTCTATGAAATATTCTGTGTAACCACTTTCCCCCCCGCCAGCTGTGGGCTAGTTATGAGACAGGCTGCAATATGGCTGGATTTGCCACATCTGGATTCCAGAAAGTCAGATGACCACACGG